ACAAGACTAGCGGCGTAGTCGAGACGACAAGCGGTAGCAAAGTCTACAAGCTCAGCAACTAGGGCAGACGCAGCAGCAGACTCAAACGACGGGTCAGTGACAACAGTGGCTAGCAGACGCGTGACAGTAGGACTGGCAGCAAGAGCAAGGTCTGACGGCGGGTCAGCAACGTTAGGAAGAGAGGACGCAGGAGGAGACGGCAGGGGAACACGCTGTGGAACAGAGGAAGGACGAAGTGCCATAGTGTGCGTGCCGGGGACAGGAGGAGGACGCTCACGAGGAACACGACGACCAGTGCGACTAGTGCGAACAGGCGAGGCAGGACGGGACGCAGGCTCGCGACGTTCTGTAAGCGAGTCTGTCAGCTCAGTGTAAGGAGAAAGAGCAGGCAGTGGTGTGCCGGGCTGTAACGGGAGGCCAGTAGAAGACGGGAGGCTAAGAACCTGGCGACGCACGGAGTTAGGCGGTGGCAGAGACGACGGTGACGGCGGAGTGAAATACAGTCGCGGCCGTGTAGTGCCACCAGTACCAGTAGCTCCAGCGCCTCCAGCAGCTCCAGAACCTCCAGCTCCAGTGACTCCAGCAGCAGCACCTCCAGCTCCAGCGCATCCAGCAGCTCCTGAACCTCCAGCTCCAGCGCCACCAGTAGCAGCACCCCCAGAACCGGCACCTCCAGCCCCAGGGTCCCCAACTCCAGGGTCGACAGTACCAGCTCCAGGGCCTCCAGCAGCAGCAACCCCAGAACCGGCACCTCCAGCTCTAGGGTCTCCAACGCCAGGGTCGACAGCACCAGCTCCAGGGCCTCCAGCCCCAGTCCCTCCGGCAGCAGCACCCCCAGAGCCGACACCTCCAGCTCCAAGAGCAGTACCAGTCCCGGCAGCTCCAGTACCTCCAGTACGAGCACCTCCAGGACCAGAGACACCAGCACTCCCAGCGCCTCCACGACAAGCAGCTCCAGCAGCACGACTCCTCAGGCGGGTACGCGACGCAAGCCACTCTCATGCCTGCTGTGGTGAGACAGGCCCACGTCATGAAACGAGACCCAGAGGAACGCCAGCAGACTCAGCACCCCCCGACCCGGCACCCTCCGGCTCAGCACCCCCAGGCTCCGCACTCGTAGGCTCAGCACCCCCAGGCTCCGCAGCCGCAGGCTCAGCAACCCCAGGCTCCGCACTCCCCAGCACCTCACGCGCAGGCTCAGCACCCCCAGACGCAGCACCCCCAGCAGCACCTCCCGCAGCAGCACCTGAGTCGCTAGTGACCTCTATAGGCTCAGCCAAGGGGGGCGGGTCTACCTGAGACACACCTGAAGGAGCAGGACCCTGAGAGGGGAGGGGGTCTACCGGAGGGGGACCTGGAGCGAGGAAAAGCGGCGGGGGAGGGAGAGGGGCAGTGCGGTAGGGGAAGAGGCGGTAGAAAGGAACCGACTCGTCAAAGGTGACGTCCTGAGAGGGGAAGACGCGGCGCGAGGTGGGGTGGTAAAACTGCCAGCCAGGCGCGTCAGGGAAAAATCCAAGGAAGACACAGGGAATGGTGCGGGAGGAGAGTTTGTCCGCGGACGTATCGCGGACAAGGGCACGAGCACCCCAGACCCGGAAACGCGACGCATCGCCAACCTCCCCCGTCCAACGCAGTGTGGGCGAGGTCTCCGGCAAGGAGACACGGGGCCAGAGGTTGAGCTGCTGCGCGGGGTACCGGACCACAACCGGCCACAGAAAATGGGGAGCCGCCGCATGGATCAAGGAGGTACGAGCGACCTCCATGACTAAGCCAATGCGGCGCTCAGCAACCCCATTTTGCTGCGGTGAGCCCGGAAGCGTGAACGACTGCTCGATGCCCTCCCCGTGACAGAAGGCCCGCAAGAGGTCGGAGGTGAACTCACCACCTCTGTCAGAGTGCAGACGCAGGATAGGCAGGTCCTGACGGAACCTGCGGCGGAGCTGGAGACGAACTGCTCGGATCCAAGGGATCAGGACAGCAGGGACCTCACCCTTGGTGCGCAAGGGGAAGACCGTGGTGTAACGCGAGTAGTCGTCGACAACCAGCAGAAAGTACCGCTCACCGCCCTGACCACGAACGCGGGCTGGGCCCCACACGTCCAGGTGGAGGGTCTGCAGAGGAGCCTCTGTCGGGGGAAACGAGGAGGAGTGAGGAGCGGCGCACTGCCGCCCCTCGACGCAAGGAAGGCAGGGCGGCGCAGGCAAGGCAGGGAGGGGAGGGAGAGACCTGGGAAGACCAGACACAAGGAGGCGACGGTGCATGCCACGGAGACGTGGCAAGGAGGGGTGACCCAGGCGGTGGTGTTAGAGAATAGTCTGGTGCGACAGGGAGCGACACTTACAGGGGGAGGCTACCAGACCTGACGCAGGCACCTGACCAACAGCAGCTACCTGAGGAGACACAGTCATCAGTGTGTAAAGACTCGACCCTGGCCGACGGGTGAACGTGGCCAGGTGACGGCCAGTCCTGGAGCACGTACAGATCGCCACACGCTGTCCTCCAGGGGTAAAGGTGTCAACCCACTAGTCCTGGAGAACTGCGTTGCTCACCAAGTTCGTAGAGAACGAGGGGAGGTGGAGGCCTGTTAGTGAGCCAGACGGAACCGCCGGGCACGGGAGCACAGTGGTGGACCGTGCAAGAACTGGGCCCCCTGAGGGGTCAGCCAAAGACACTGCAACAAGTGCAGGAAGTGGTGTGAGTGCGGTACTGTCGCGAAAGAAACAGCAGGAAGCACCTAAGTCAAGCGTGAAGGTGTGCAAGGCCTCAGTAGGCGCAGTACCTGAGAGAGCAGACTCTCTAGCACCTAAGGCAGCAGCATCACTAGCACCTAGAGTTGTAACCTCTATACCGGGGTCGTGCTGCACACACAGGTAACAGTCAGCCTCAGCACCACCAGGCAAAGCATACATGGCAGTAAGGATGGCGTCATAGTCTAAAGCAAAGGCATCAACGCCCGACCTAAGCAGCTCAAGCCAGTGGGGGATCTCAGCATCGTCTCCAAACTCTGCGTGCCAGGCGTCACTCAAATAGGAGAAGCAGCGGGACTATGCGTGACCAGGTGTCCCACAGGTCTGACCAGCTCGACGACCTGTGCGAATGACGTATGGGCAGCGACCAGGACTCGGAGACGTCCCACGCTGGTAAAGCCACTCACGAAGCTGCTGGGGCGTAAGGGTCGGACGCCGCTGTAGCTGCATCTGGCCACCGCCAGAAACTCCGCACCGAACAGCGCCACAGTGACTGCTACTACGGTTGCCACCACTCCCACTGCTGCCACCACCGCCGGCACCACTCCCACTGCTGCTGCGAATTGAAGTCATGGCGGGCAAGCTAGGAGGAGCGTGACATCTAGGGCAGGACGGAGTGAAGGCAGTAGCACGAGTAGCAGCAGCAGCGGTAAGAGCAGCAGAGCGGCTCGGCGAGGCTAGGCTGTAGCACCTCCAGTACTCCTAGCAGTACCTCCACCAGCAGCAGCAGCAGTAGGGTGGATCAGGTTGGGCAGGGCGGCTCGTGCTGGGCGGCGCGACTCGGCCTGGGCGGCGCGGGCAGCAGGGCGCGCGCTGTGCAGGGCAGCAGGGCGCGACGCGCGGGCTGCAGCAGGGCGCGACACGCGGGCAGCAGGGCGCGGCGCGCGGGCTGCAGGAGGGCGCGACGCGAGGGCTGCTGCAGGGCGCGACGCGCGGGCTGCACCAGGGCGCGACGCGCGGGGCAGCAGGGCGCGACGGCGGGCTGCAGTAGGGCGCAACGCGCGGGGCAGTAGGGTGCGACGCACGGGCTGCAGCAGGGCGCGACGTGCGGTGCAGCAGAGCGCGACGCGCTGGCTGCAGCAGATCGCGACGCGCGGGGCAGACGTAGGGCGCGACGCGCAAGGCAGCAGGGCGCGACGCGCAAGGCAGCAAGGCGCGACGTGCGGGCTGCAGCAGGGCGCGACGCGCAGGGCAGCAGGGCGCGAGCTGCAGCAGGACGCGGGGCAGGGCAGGGCGCGCGCGGGGCAGCGCAACGCAAGGCAGGACAGGGCGTGCGCAGGGCAGCGCGACGCAAGGCAGGGCAGGGCGTGCGCGGGGTAGCGCGACGCAAGGCAGGGCAGGGCAGGGCGCGCGCTATAGGGCAGCGCAGGGCAAGGCGTGGGGTAACGCGGTAACCGCAGTCGGACACTAGGTAATGGTGGGCCCGAAAAAAACAGCGGTCCTACGGACCTACTGCTCTGAAACCATGTCAAGATAGCAAGCAGGAATGACTGCATGGAAAGGATTGTGGGTACAAGTACTAACCCTAACATGGGGTTGTACCCCATACAGGCTACCCCACTATAGCCTACACAGAACTAGCACATATATAGTTTGACAAGATGCACTGCGCCTTACGGTAAATGTTGCGTGCCTGCCAGCAGGGGAAACCAAGCTTGCATCAGATCGGATCCACCCTGCAAACTCAGGGGTAGATAAAAGAAACCTATTATTTTGTATGAATGCATAGAATTTAATATTCTGAGCGCTGTACGCCGGGTACAAGCAACCTTGCAAGCTTAGGCTACTGGTTGGTTACCTTGCGTTTTCTCCGCTTTGCATGTTGCACATGTGGGAGTTACTTTTGAGTCTTCTCAAAAGCCGCTTCTCGCGTTGCACATGTGAATCTTGTTGAATGAGTACTGGCTGGACTTTGTACCCATGGTTCCATTATTTCAGGTGTGATTGCAGACAGCCAAACCCAATCAATGCACGCCACCAGAGAGACCGCGCCACTATAATGAGGGACCAGTAAAGCTACTCTCTAAGCACACTCCCTACACCGTGCAGTCTTGGTAGATCACAAAATAATGATCTCAACTTTTGCTGCACTAATTGCTAGATCTCCCTAGCACCATTCACAACAGCCTTCACACACAGCGCCAGTCACACGAGGCCTGCCATGCTTCGCCCATCATCGCGCTACGTCTGCAGCAGCACAGCACCGCCCGTCGCCCGTCACACACCACCCATCATGCCTCGGAGCCTCTCCCTTCACGCAACGCCGGCCTTCTTGACGAGCAGCTCTGCGATCTGCACGGCGTTGAGGGCCGCTCCCTTGCGGATCTGGTCGCCACACACAAACAGGTCCAAGCTGGTGTGGGAGGGGACAGAGAAAGGCGGGCAAGGGGAATCAGTGGAGGGGTGGGTTTTAGTCGACTGCAAATCTGCAAATATCCAAATCGATCGCCACACTAACAGGTCCAGCCTGGCATGGAAAGGAGGGCAGAGAGAGGGCGGGAGGATGTAGGGACTAGCGAGTCTTACCTCAAAACCCCATCACCCCCACTCTCACCCTCCCCTCTCAACCCCACACTCAATCCCAACCACTCCCTCACCCCCCTCTCTCACACTCCTCCGCCGCATCCTTGTTGTCGGGTTGCGAGATGCCCTGCCGAATGTCCTCACCCTTGTTTGATCCGACACCAAAGTCATCTCACTCACCATGCTCTCTTTCTCACCCCACACTCCCTCATCCCCCGCTGTGACCACCACCCCCTTCGCCTCACCCCTTGTTGTCAGGTTGCGAGATGTCCTGCCGAATGCGACCCACCGCCACGTCATCCTTGTTTGACACCTGGCGGGCGGCACGGAGGGATGGAAAATGGGGGAAGACAGAGGGCAAGCATGGGTGGAGAATGGAGTGGCAACAGGAAGAGACAGCACAGATGCGGGGCGGTGGTTGATGCAACTGGACAACAAAGAAAGCACTCTGAGAGGGAGAACGATTGGCATGGGTGACATCAAACAGAAGTTGGGAGAAGTCACCTTACAATAGACTCGCAAAAGGAATCGATCACTCGAAGGAGAAGCAGCGGATTAGGCATGTGCTCACATCAAGCGGCGTGGGGAAGGTGTTGGTGTCGCGGTCGTCAATGAGGTACAACCCCTCTGCACCGCTCAGAACCTCCTTCGCCTCCACCTGCCAGCACCAAGGAGCACATCGAGGCACGGGGGGAGGGAGGTGGAGCGATGCATGGGTGGGGAAGCGGGGAGATGCAGGGGCAGGGCGTTCAATGAGGAAGAGCCCTCTGCACCGCTCAGAACCGAAGTGGTGATTCTGGCAGGGTCACAGTGGTGAGGGGGGTGAGGGAGGTGAGGGAGGTGAGGGAGGTGAGAAATCATGGTACCTTCCACTGTTAGCTCGCATCGCTGCCCCTCACCTCACCCATCCACCCTCTTCCCCCATGCACCACATATCCCCTCTCCTCCCCCTCACCTCAGACAGCGGCTCCTCGAGCGTGAGGTTGATGCCCTCCGCATGGGCGCGCATCACCCTTTCTACCGCACACAACCCCCCTCCACCCAACCACCTCTCCCTCCCCACTTCCCTCTCTCCCTCCTCTCTCACCTCAGACAGCGGCTCCTCGAGAGTGAGGTTGATGCTCTCTGCATGGGCGCGCATCACAGGCACTCGGATGCACGTTGCTGTCACTGCCACTGAGGGGTCGCTCTGCATGGAGGGAGAGGGGAGAAGGGAGAACAGCAGGGGTTGGGTTTAAGCAAGACAGCATGCATCACGGGCACTCGGATGCACATTGCTGTCACGGCCACTGAGGGGTCGCTCTGCATGGAAAAGGGGCGGAGAGGGGAGAAAACAGTAGCGGTGGGGTTTGAGTGAGACAGCGCGCATCACGGGCACTCGGATGCACGTGGCTGTCACTGCCACTGACGGATCACCCGGAATGGGGCGTGGCCCGTGTTCCCGTGTAGCAGCAACAGGGGTGAGACAACGGGGAGGGAGAACAGCAGGGGCGGGGTTACTAGCACAGTGGGCCTTTTTCATATCAGATACATAAACTAGGACTGTGTAACACCAAGCAACACGCGGCACTTACACCAAATATATGAAGCAGCACGTCATAAAACCAAGGATCACACAGCACCGAACCAGACCTCCATCCATACTTGGCACCCCCTCACGTCCCCCTCCCACCCACATCTCCCACCCACGACGCACCCAGATCTTGCGCGTCTCCTTGACCATCTTCATCTCCTCCTCGTTGCACCCACAACCCGCCCAGATAAACCAGACTTCCGACAATAAAAGGAATGCATGTGCGCATGTGCGCATGTGCAGCACTGACCCGCACATGCTTGACATGTGACTCACCCAGATCTTGCGCGTCTCCTTGACCATCTTCATCTCCTCCTCGTTGTACCCATTGGCCGTCATGGGCGAGTTGTGCGAGAACAGGTTGAACGCGTACTGGGCGCACAGAGAGGGAACCATGGGGAAGCATGCATGGGGCGAGGCGGGACGAGGCGAAGTGAGCAGATGGCAAGGGAAGGAGCGGGCAAGGGAGGGAGAAGGCGAGGGAGGGAGAGAACGAGGGAAGGAGAGGGCAAGGGCGGGAGAGGGCGAGGGAGGGAGAGGGCGAGTGAGGGAGAGGGCAAGGGAGGGAGAGGGCAAGGGAGGGAGAAAGCAAGGGAGGGAGAGAGCAAGGGAGGGAGAGGGCAAGGGAGGGAGAGGGCGAGGGAGGGAGAGGGCGAGGGAGGGAGAGGGCAAGGGAGGGAGAAAGCAAGGGAGGGAGAGAGCAAGGGAGGGAGAGGGCAAGGGAGGGAGAGAGCAAGGGAGGGAGAGGGCAAGGGAGGGAGAGAGCAAGGGAGGGAGAGGGCAAGGGAGGGAGAGGGCAAGGAAGGGAGAGAGCAAGGGAAGGAGAGGGCAAGGGAAGGAGAGGGCAAGGGAGGGAGAGAGCAAGGGAGGGAGAGAGCAAGGGAGGGAGAGGGCAAGGGAGGGAGAGAGCAAGGGAGGGAGAGGGCAAGGGAGAGGCACAAGAGGGGGCAAACGAGGCTTCAGCATGGAAGGGCAGAGACTGGTTGGAGCGTGCGTGAAGGTGGTGGGGAGGTGGAATGGATGAGCGGATATATGGAGGAAGGCAGGTGAGGGGTATGGCGGAGAAGGCAGCGTGTCGTGAGGCGGCATGGCATGGCATGGTCACCTGGCGGCCAAAGATGGTGGTGGTGGGTGGCTTGCCCTCCAGCACCTGCTCTCACATGCACAGACAGGGACGCGGCGCGGAGAGAGGGGTATGGGGTAAGGAGGTTTGTAAGCACGAGAAGATGGCATGGGGTGGATGGCATGGGGTAGATGGCACGGGGTGGATGGCAAGGGGAAATGGCTCGGTAATGGGTTGGGTTGCCATGACTCGTGAAGTTCCGTTGCCATCCTATAGCACTATCCCATGCCCCTCCCCCATGGGGTGATTTCAACTCCAGCTATGTTCAATCCTATGGCGACCGCCCCCTCGTTTTCGCACCTGCCCGCCTCCCCCCTACCACCCCTTCCCCTCCCAATCCCCCCCCCCCCGGCCCCTACCACCCCTTTCCCCCCTCCCCCCACACGCACCTCCTTGGTCTGCAGCTCCAGCTCCGCCATGGCGGCCGCGCCCGCGCCACTGGCGGCCTGGTACGTGGAGACCACCATGCGCTTCACCTGGTGGGCGCAGAGAAGGGGAAAAAAGGGGGGACGGTGGGAAAGTGGGGGGAGAAGAGGGGAAAGTTGTGCGTTGACTCCCGTGTCACCGTCTTCCCCACTAGCCGGCACCTTTTGCGACATGTCAAAAACTCGAGGCGACTTGAGAGTCGACTCAAAAGTCACTTCACCGTCTTCCCCACTAGCCGCCGCCTTTTGCGACATGTCAAAAACTCGAGGCGTCACTGGTATTGCGTGAGGCACGGCATGAAGGACAGTCGACCAGCATTACCCCCTACCCCTCTCCCGTTTCACCATCTCTCCCCCATCTCTTTCTCCATCTCCTCTCTCACCACCTCCCCTTCAACCATCCCCCCTCGAGTGACCACCGCACCTTGGCGCGGCGGTGGATGGGAGTGACGGCGACGAGGCAGATGATGGTGGAGCAGTTGGGGTTCGCGATGATGGCGCCACCCCTCTCACCGTCTCACTATCCGCCCCTTACCCCCTATCCCCATCTCCCCTCTCCACTACACCAGGCGCCCCTCTCCTCACCTTGGTGCGGCGGTGGATGGGAGTGATAGCGACGAGGCAGATGATGGTGGGGCAGTTAGGATTCGCCGCCTTCTCTCTCTCCCGTCTCACCATCTCCCCCCTGTTCCCCTCTCCCCTTCACCAGCGCCCATATCATTGCCTCACCTTGGCGCGGCGGTGGATGGGTGTAACAGCAACGAGGCAGATGGTGGAGCAGTTGGGATTCGCGATGATGGCGCCACCCCTCTCACCGTCTCACTATCCGCCCCTTGCCCGCTATCCCCATCTCCCCTCTCCACTACACCAGCCCCCCCCTTCTTACCTTGGCGCGGCAGTGGATGGGGGTGACGGCAACGAGGCAGATGATGGTGGAGCAGCTGAGGTTCCCTCTCCTCTCTCCCCATCTCCCCCATCTCCCCCATCTCCATACCCCATTTGCGCACTACGCCATACCCCTCCCAGTGGCGCACCTTGGCGCGGCGATGGATGGGAGTGACGGCGACGAGGCAGATGATGGTGGAGCAGTTGGGATTCGCGATGATGGCGCCGCCGCCGCCCAGCTTGATGTGCGCCATGGCCTCGGGGTTCACCTGGTGCGGGGAGGGGGTGGGGGGATGGCGGGCGCGCGGAGAATGTGTGGGGAGGGCGGAGATGGGAACAAAAAAAAAAAAAAAAAAAAATTGAGAGGGGGATTGGGGCGAATGATGGCGCCGCCGCCGCCCAGCTTGATGTGCGCCATGGCCTCGGGGTTCACCTGGTGCGGGGAGGGGGTGGGGGGATGGCGGGCGCGCGGAGATTGTGTGGGGAGGGCGGAGATGGGAACAAAAAATAAAAAATAAAAAGTTGAGAGGGGGATTGGGGCGAATGATGGCGCCGCCGCCGCCCAGCTTGATGTGCGCCATGGCGTCGGGGTTCACCTGTGGGGGGAGGGGGAGGCGGGTGGGGAGGGCGGAAATGCGGGTGGGGAGGGCGGAAATGCGGGTGGGGAGGGCGGAAATGAGGGTGGGGAGGGCGGAAATGCGGGTGGGGAGGGCGGAGATGGGGGTGGGGAGGGCGGAGATGGGGGTGGGGAGGGCGGAGATGGGGATGGGGAGGGCGGAGATGGGGGTGGGGAGGGCGGAGATGGGGGTGGGGAGGGCGGAGATGGGGGTGGGGAGGGCGGAGATGGGGGTGGGGAGGGCGGAGATGGGGGTGGGGAGGGCGGAGATGGGGGTTGGGAGGGCGGAGATGGGGGTGGGGAGGGCGGAGATGGGGGTGGGGAGGGCGGAGATGCGGAACTAAGGAGAGTTGAAGGGAGGGGGGTTGGGGCGCGTGGTAGCGTCGCGGTTCTTCAGCTTCACGTGCGCCTGGGCTTCGGGGTTCACCAGGAAGGGGGTCAGAGAGGGAATTAGGGGGAGGGAGGGCGGGGTTGTGAGGGCGCGCCCGCCGCTCCCGAGCCCTGGAAAAGCGGGGGAACCGGGGGGCGAGATACAGGCTCGTGGGGCGCGTGATGCAGCAGAATCTGCGCGGCGCTGGATGCGCGCGCAGCTGAATCGGCATCATGACGTTGCGAGGCGTGGGCAATGAGCTGTGCGCTCGACGAGTCCCCGCGCACGCACGACGTCACAGGCGCGAGCAGCACGTCCTGCGCCGCCGTGCGTCGCGCGCGCGCGACTTCATGGTACTGCTGCGCTTCATCACTTAGCAATTCCAGCACCATCCACGCACCTCGGGGACGACGAGCGGCACGCCCTCGGTCATGCGGAACGCGGAGCTGTTGTCCACCACGATCGTGCCCTCTGCCACCGCCGCCGGCCCAAACTTCTTGCTGCGCGGACGGAAGAAGGGGTTGGGGGGAAGGGGAGGAAGGAAAAGGGGAGGGTGAGCGAAAGGGGGGCACGGACTAAGGGCTGCTCGCTTCACCACGAACGTGGCCTCCGCCACTGCTGCTGGCGCAAACTTCTTTCTGCGCGGACGGGACAGGGTGGGGGGAAGGCGTGAACGGGTGGGGAAAAGAAGAGGATGAGCGGTAAGGGGGGAGAGAGGTGGGATAAGTGCACGGGCTGAGGGCTGCTCTGCTCCACCACGATCGTGCCCTCCACCACCGCCGCCGGCCCAAACTTCTTGCTGCGCGGGCGAGGCGCGGGGAAAGAGCGGGGGAGGGTGGGGGAGGGTGGGGGAGGAGGAGAGAGGGGTAAGGAAGAGGAAGGCGATGGCAGTGAGGGGCTGCGTGGGGCGTGGGTGGTGAGCGCGCGCGAAAATAAACGAGAAAATGGAAGAGGCTGTAGCCACGAGTGAGAATCGCAGACGATCGCAGAGGAGGATCGCAGAGGAGGATCGCACGCGATAGGTTCGGCAGAAGCTGATGCTGTGATGGGTGACGACGTGCACGCGCGGAGGGCGGAGGACGAAAGACGGCAGCGCAACAGCGTACCTGATGGATCCACCGGCGCTGAATAGCGCAATGTCGACGCCCTTGAAGCAGCAGCGGTGTGGCCGTGCATTGCATGATAACCGATCAGCTGATGAATGATGACGTGATCCCCTGCTGGGTGAATACATGCACGAGCGAAGGCCGGCAGGGAGCAGCAGCTTACCTGATGGAACCGCCAGCGCTGAAGAGAGCAATGTCGACGCCCTTGAAGCTCGCCTCCGTGAGCTCCTCCACCGTGTACGTGCGGCCCTGCGGTTGATGCACGGGTTGAGAAGGGTGGAGAGGGGGGGAGATGGGTGGAGACGAGTTGAAGCTCGCCTCCGTGAGCTCCTCCACCGTGAGAGGATCTGGTCGCAACCCCTTGGCACCAGCGGCCGTGGATCGTTCAATGACAATTGTGTCGACGCGCCTCCAATGCGGCCACCAGCCACGAATATATGAGAACCTCCAAGGACTGACATCCAGCAGCAGACACTTGAGGACTGACATTTAAGGCCTGACTTCAAAAGCATGCGGAGTGCCCGAAGCCCTTCCCCCGACCACCACTAAGCAGATTCCTGAACCTCAGGCGGGCCTTACATCAAAGTCGAACTTCTTCCCGGCGGATCGAGAGCTGGCGAGCATCTTGAGCGAGCTGTACGGAAAATCGCGCTGCGCGAGCACCTGAAGAAACTCCTGGCCCACCGCGCCCGTCACTCCCACCACCGCCACCGACGGGCCGCTCTCCGTCAGCCCCATTCTGACGACGCCGCGACGTGCGACGCGTGACTTGTGCGAAACGGTCGCCTTCGGGAATGCGACGACGCGGCGACCAGAGAAGTCTGACGAGAGGTGGTTGGGCGATGGGCTCAGTGTTGCGGAGGGCTTGAGGGCAGCACTGCGGAGAGAGGAAGCTGAAAGGGCCATCAAGAAAAAAAGCAGAGGTCGGAGGAGAAGTTTGCTGTGCAATGCAAACGCTGATCTCTGCTTGAGGGAAATGTGGCCTTGGTAAATGGCGTGCAAAAAGTAGGAAATTAGTGTTTCGTGATAACTTACCTGGACTATAACCTTCACGGAGAAACAAAGAGCAGTCTTGGGAAAAGCGGGAAGGAGGAGAGACCGGGGATTCGGGAGGTTGGTCGGAGCCACGCAAGAAGGAGGCGAGCTCTGATTCGAGCTCTGCTCGCCGCGCCTCTCCTGGCAGTACTGCCGCGTCAGCAAATGCGTGCGTTCTCAAAGGAAATTGGGGTTTTTGTGGGGCATAATAGCTAGTTTATTCAGTTTCCTCACTGAGCAAGGGTAGTGGAGGTGATAGGTTTCGCTTGCAGAGTCATGAGTACGTGGAGGTGGTGGTAAGTTTGTTGACCAGTTGAACACCCGTCATGAGTTCGTGGAGGTGGAGTACATACTTTCCGCCTAAGCACCTCGAGTCAGTATATTCAAATTCACGTCTGTGTGGTAAGTTTACCGAAACGCCTGGGAAAACAGGACCTCAAAAACAACCACCCAGTACGGAAACGCCTACCCCCAACCTCGAAATACAGCTAGAGACTGCCCTTCTTGACAAACTCACGTGGGACAAATTTCCTTGCGAAAAAAAACTCATTCTCGTTATCCAAACATTTCGGAAGTACGACCGCTGAGCACCAATAGCTTGGGGTTGTTATCAGAAACATGCTGACGTTGCGTGCAGTCAATACGTGGCAGTGCACCACTGGGCCTCATCCTCCCTTCCATCCAATTGATGAGATGCACCATTCAGTGGCACGTGTCAGTCTCCTACCTATCCGGCTCAAGAACGGGGCGAACAAGCCAGCAGGAGTAATGTGTGCAATCGATGCTTTACTGTATCTACATAACATAATGTTATGTAGAATATGTGAATTTTAACAAACAATAGCATCAATACCACCTTTAGTAAACACAAATGGTCACTATGTCGTATGTTTCACGTATTTTGTTGATATAACCAAGGAATCGATGGATAGGATAAAGCTGGCCAAGTAGGGTGTAAGACAATGAAGTCTTGAAGTGACCTTGTTTATAATAACTTAAACGAAAACAAGATGATAAAGATAGCATCACAAGGGGTTTATATAGGATTCCTATCTAGCAATGTAGTCTGTGTCAGAATGTTGTATTTGTCTAGCCTGCAGTGGGGTACTCTATAGCGAGTACAGCCCAATCTAGGGTTTCCTATATGTACTCAACTGCTTGCTAGTGCAACCCCTCCTTTTTCTTCATTCTCACTTTCTACTGCTGATTCTGACATGCTATCAGAGCAGGTCGATCCCCTTGGGTCGATCCTGTGGGTGGGCCCACCACCTAAAGCTTCCGCTGCTCTACTGCTGTCGCGCGCCCCGAGCGCGCTACCCTTTTATCCTGCCGCCGGCGGTTTTCCTGTGTGGCGCGCGCCCGGGGGGCGCGCGGCCCTTTCTTCTTCCTGGCGCCCCCTGGCGAGCCGCGCGCTGCCCCCGCCCGTCCGTCGCGGCACCCTGGGGAGCCGCGCGCTGCCCCCGCCCGTCCGTCGCGGCGCCCTGGGGAGTTGCGCGCGGCCCCCGCCCGTCCGTCGCGGCACCCTGGGGAGCCGCGCGCTGCCCGCGCCCGTCCGTCGCGGCACCCTGGGGAGCCGCGCGCTGCCCCCGCCCGTCCGTCGCGGCGCCCTGGGGAGTCGCGCGCGACCCCCCACTGCCCCGTCGCGCCGCCCTGGGGAGCTGCGCGCGGCCCCCTGCTGCCCCGTGGTGGCGCCCTGGGGGCCGCGCGCCGTCCCCCCCGCCGTCCCCCCGCGCTTCTGCCCCTTGCAACCCGTTTTAGGGTTTTGGGCTGAGGAGTGTGGGGGTGGCGGTTGTGGGGGTGCCCGTTGTGTGCGCCGTCCCCTACTCCTCCTCCTCCTCCGTCTCCCGCTGCTGCAGCTGCCGCTCAGGGGGGTGTGTGTGTGGGGAGCCGAAGGAGTGGTGCTAGGGGGGTGAAGGGGGAGTGGAGCTAGGGGTGAAGCAGGGGGTGTGTGTGAGAGGGGTGTGGGACGGTCGGGGGAGGTTGAGCGGAGGCTGCTGTCTTGTCGTCCGCAGCGCCTGTAGTCCGGGGCGCACTGTCCTGGTAGCCCAGAGAGTCTGCTGCGCCTGTTGCCCGTGGGTCCATTGCTCCTGTAGCTCCTCGTAGCCCGTGAGCCAGTTACTCCAGTAGTCCGGGGCGCACTGTCCCGGTAGCCACTGTGCCAGCAGCTCCTGTTGCCCGTGTGTCTGCAGCTTCAGCCGCCGTCTCTCATCTTCTCTCCTCTCACAGTCCCTCCTCCTCCTCACTTGCCCGCTGTGATTACCTCTAGCTTTGCTTCTTATTGTGAACTCCTGCTATACCTGCTCATTGTGCTGATTACACCCCACTTTGGCAATGGGGGTGTGTCAAAATGTTGTATTTGTCTAGCCTGCAGTGGGGTACTCTATAGCGAGTACAGCCCAATCTAGGGTTTCCTATATGTACTCAACTGCTTGCTAGTGCAACCCCTCCTTTTTCTTCATTCTCACTTTCTACTGCTGATTCTGACAGTCTGAGGGGTACATTCCCTTATTTACTGTTTTGCATGCATTGCTACAGTTGCAGTGACTATTGCGATCCTTACGTAACCTCCGATGACAGTTGCAGAACAGTCAACAGTCGCAACCATTGACCTTCTGCGACTGTTGACCTTCGCGAGACTGCTGACCTTCGCGTGCTCTATACGAGCTAACGCGGTACTGGTACAGGTGCGCTGCTTCGTTATGAAGCGGTGCGCTAAGGGAGAACCTTCGGGAATGTTATAATAACATGTTGGTTATTCCAACACCCCCCTTCATTCCTGAAGGTGAGCCACGTGGGATTTCTTCACGATCCCGCAGAGGTTGGCGAAGTGCTGAAACTTCTGACGTGGCAGCTTCTTCGTCAGAAAATCTGCTGCCATGTCACCAGTCGGGCAATAGGTGAGTTTGAATTTGCCCTTGACGATCTCGTCCTTGACGAAGAAGTAGCGGAGCGCGATGTGCTTCGTGTGATTCACGAAGCCATGTTTGTTCGCGATCTTTATCGCGCTCTGGTTGTCGCAGAGTAACTTGAAGTGCTTGTTCATCGTCAATTTCGCTTAATGCATGAGCTCCGTCAAGTACAGTCCTACGCGGACAGCTGCGCTGGCGGCGATGAATTCGGCTTCAGCTGAAAAAAAGGCAATGAGCTCCTGCTTCTGTGAGATCCATGACATGAGTCTAGCAGGTTCTGTTGTCTGCTCTCCCGCATGGTCCGCGTCCACGTAGCCGCGTAGCTGAAGAGTAGCCGTTAGGTTGGCCGTGTAGGTGAGCCCGACGGCAGGAGTAGATACGAAGTATTGGAGTGCTCGGCGTAGGTCTAGCATATTCTCCCCTTCAGGTCGGCGCATGTACTGTGCGAGCTGGCTTGCGACGTAGGAGAGATCCGGCCGGCACGTGACGTCGGCGAACAGGAGGCACCCTAGCTGCTGCTGGTAGAGACGGTGGTCGTCGATGGAGAGAGGCTTAGTGTCGGCTTCGTGATTAGGAGGAGGAGTGCGGAAAGGGGCGGTGAGGTTGATTGGTGCGATCGCCGATTTCTTCGCGAGAGTTTCGGCGTATTTCGTGGCCGAGAGATGGATGGAGGTGGCGGACTGTGTGATGTTCAGTCCCAGAAACTGAGTGACATTGTGGTTGATAGTCACCTCGAGTTTTTCTTTGATTTCTTCTTCGAATCGATCGAGGAGCTCCGTGTCGTCGCCGGTGTAGAGTAGGTCGTCCACGTAGGCGATTAGGAGAATGAATTTTCCGCGCGACTCCTTCCGGTACCACCCTTGGTCGTGCGGCAGCTGAGCGAAGCCAAGCTCGATAAGCACCGTGTGTAGGTACTGCTGCCACAGGCGGGGAGCTTGCTTAATGATGTATAGAGATTTTTTGAGAAGGAAGACGGCAGAGTCATTTTCTTCGAAGGAATGCGGCTGCTCGACGAAGATGATGGCATCGACGATCGCGTACATAAATGTGTTCGAGACGTCGATTTGGCGAAGCGGGCGGTGCTTGACGGCGACGATGCAGATGAGAATGCGCGCCAAGGTGTGTTGTCCAACATATGCGAGTGTTTTAATCCGGAAAACCCATTTGCCGCTTAATATTTTTTCTCCCCTTTGCTGATGAGCGAGGGACCAGCTTCCACGATCCGCGGCGCTTGAGAGCTGCTACTTCAGCGGCCATGGCTGCTCTTCTGTCGGGACCTTGCAGGGCATGGCGCACGGTGGTGGGCTCCTTGGGAGAGAGCAATATAATCGAAGTCGTGCATGCTAGTAACATCGACAACGTCGTCGTCGTTGTCATTGCTGTTGCGGATGGTGTCTTGCGAGGGATTCGGTGGTGGTAACTCGGCATCTGGGATTTGGCGTGTCATGCTGTTGAAGTTGTGAGCTTCACGAGTTGTATCGTCAAGATCCACTTGCGAAACATTTATGAAGGTTGGAGTTTGGAGTGGGCTTGTAAGGGGGATGTTAGGATAATGTTCGTCGCCACGTCAGCTTCGTCTTGTGCGGTTGCGAAGCTGTGGTGGCCCGTGAAGACGTTTTCTGGCGCTTCGTCAGCTTCGCGATGCTGCTTGTACAGTGGCAATGTCAGCTTCTCGTAGAAGATACAATCACGGGATTTCGTCACTTCGTGTGTCGCGTAGTCCAGCACGATCCAGGCCTTAAATTCCTTCAAAATCCCGAGGTGAATGCACCAGCGTGCCCGATCAGTAAATTT